TGCAATGATACACCATTTAGGCTGAATACCAACTTGATATAGAAGATGGCTGTTTCAAAGACAGCAACACTGGAGGAATTTCCCTCAGTGTTTGGGTGCTTGGATGAACAAGGGCTTCTGTGTGAATATTGGCGTTGGTATAGTCGCTATGGGGAAATTTACGGATATTAGTCACGTAGTATTAGTGCGGCGTTGGGGTTTACTTCCGTTCTTTTTTTTTTTTAAATCATTTAAGCGTATTCAGCTATGGAGCTATGACACATGACCGGTGCTGTGTAGACATGTTGGATGACTCTTTTGACGTTAGAGACACTCATACTATGGATTTCATTCGCTAATACCACTATGAGGTATGCTTGCTTACACAAACTGTCGACCCTCCTCCGCAAGTACCAACCAAAGGGACGTTTCGAAATCTTTGATTATCCAAGCATGCTTTCGTCATCCATATATACCAGACCCGCGAGAAATGTGGCTGTGTTTTGCCGGATTTGAACCAGCGATCTACTGTCTCAAGTGGGATATGTGTCCAAGCTATCCAGACTCTACTTGGCAGACCGGCCAAGACGATGTACCACCGCACCATCCAACCATGGCGGTGTTTATAGTGTCGCCTGCACTCTCGCCACCGAAGTATTGGCACGCACAAAGCTCAATTTGCAAAAACTACTTGCCAAAATTCCACGCCCGTCGAGATTGTATCCATCCTTCGCATCATCTTGTTAACTTGTCCTGAATCCTCTCACGCCAATCCCAAAGAACTGTCTCCCAGATTTGTGTGCCACGCTTTGTGTCCTCCGTCGGGTATAAATATCGGCGTGGGCGTGTATTTGGTGGCCAGCTGAGGCCAGAGAAAGTCGACAAGAGGTGTGATCATTGGAATAAGGATGTACTAGGTCGTACTTGTAGACTTGATGAGGCTTGGGTAGGATTCGATCTTTTTTGGAATGAAAATTTGACGTGGTGGAGTTATTTGAATCATTGCCTCGTTGGCCAACTTTTTTGGAATTGCGAAATTTGACTGGACTTGGCTCTGGTAGAATATTTCACTCCCAGGTTCGTAAAGGGCACCACTGACAGGCGTTCAGTCTTGCCCTCCTTTCTTCCGTTCATTATTCATTATTCAAGATACATAAATATATATATATACGTTTTGATCAATAACCATTTTGCCCAATCTTTGTGCTAGCACATTAACTAGAACCGGTGATAAACCGACAGCTTCGAATCCTTCTTTTAGTAGGTATCCACCGACAAGGTTCGACAGTCTCGTGCAGACAAATATACTCCACGGTGGTATTTGCGAACGAAATACAGAGCTTGAATACTTCAGTTAGAATAATTTCCTAGTCGGTGCTTTCTTAGAGTTGTTGGTTGCATTGCGTGTAACTCTTTTCTCTAATTTGTGAATCCTAGCATTCGGGTAAAGTATCACACGAATGTGAGACGGATGCCTATTTTAAAGTATCAGTGTAAAAAGTTGACGATGACCACCCGATTATTCCGACTCATCGTTCTCATGGCGCGCTACAGTACCCTCATAGCTTTAAATGAATTAATAGACTTTTAGTGTATGCGCTACGTCATCCCTAGTCTCTAGAGACAAGGAGCAATCCTATATGTACATAAATCACTGATCGTATGTTGGAGCGAAATAGCTGAATATAAATTAAATTATGAACAAAAAATATGGCTACTGCAGACCCTGAAACCTGAAGAGCAGTTAAGCTTTGTCGAATCTGACATTCTAGAAAGCATGATATGAGGCTGCAGAAATCGCCTTTTTCTCTCCACCAAGACTCGACAAGGGACAGAGGCACTAACACTGATCTCATCTCGTATTCCTACAGAGAAATACCACTAGTCTGTAGTCCAAGCTATCCATGTCGCCACAAATGATAGATCTCCAAGTACATGACCGTGTCCTGCCCTCGATAGCCAAGTTGTAGGGGAGATATCTGGAGAAAAGCCCGAGATGGATCTTCTGAGGAAATGATGGGCAATACTGGCGACATCAAAGGGATTACTTGGCGGATATTAGATCATGGTAAGATCGAGCAACTCCGGATGACTAAGTCGGTCGAAACGCTCCTTGGCGCCAAAAAAGTGGACAGGCAGAACTCGGGTCGATAGAAAAAGTACAATCAGTTCACGTAGATGCTACAACAGTGTAACTGCACTGCCCGAGAGACAAAATGGAAAAGCTTATATGTAAAACACGTAGGTCGCGGGTTTTCACTCAGAGGTTTCCTCCTATGTAGTTGTCCGAATAGGGCTTGAAGCCTCCTGCATATGCCCACAGGGCGCCAAATTAGATCTCATTTGATTTCATTTATTCCGCTCAAGTATGTATAGCTACAGTATTCGCAAAGGAGATAGCTAATTAGATTGAAGCCCCCTGATTCTATCTCTCTTGTGTCTATTTTTTTCCTAGGTCTTGCTTCAGAAAGTGCCTCCACACTGTTCGTCCAGTGCGAATTCCGACCTATCACTTCTCCTTCATTTCGTCTTTTCCTTCACTGGGGTTTCGCCTTTTCCTGTGGGCCAGAACAGTTCAAGCCAACCCCTAGTTAGCATCAACCTTGTAATTCTCTTCGTACTATGTGAGCTATTCATCATGACTTAAAAAGACTTATCTTTGCCCATCGCAGGTCATATCCTCTTCCCTCTGCTCACTGAAGGCACGCTAAGACGATGTGTTTGATATCTTGTGTTTGATATCTACACAAGCATTTTGGATAAACCAACCGGGGGAACTTCCTTTGTATTTCTTATTGTTCTCCTTGAGTCTGAGACTATCTAGCACATTGGGCCCCTCTCTGATCCAGGCCGCAACTCGTACAGTACTCCTGTCCTCTTTTGCCCCAAAATTAGCTAACCAATTTAATGGCCATCATAGATTGCCACTTGGCCCAGTGATTACATGTGAAATCCAGGTGTCTTTTCTAAGACACTATACCTTCCTTTGCTAGAAATAAGTGTTGAGGTCTATGTGCTCACATCTAATCTGAACTGCGATAGTCTTTTAGGCCCTGCCAATGTTTCGGTGGATGCCGGAAGATGTACTTGTGTGGATCATGTTTGTTGCTTTCCAATATTCTGGATTTGCCATCCATAATCAAACACATATATAAAATAGGTGGTTCACAACTCACTTCCTAGCCCACCAAGAAAAATGTTGACCAGAGATTTCTTTTTGGAGCTTAATGTCTGAGAATTTTCAATGATTTATTTTGATGAGTCAGTTTGGCGTGTTTCACTTGAGCTGAGGTCGGAGTAGCCGCATAGCCGGTGAAGAGAGACGGAACGGAGAGAAGGCCGATCTATCTTCGGGGACTCCGACAAATGTGGGTTGACGTCATCAATTTTTGACTTGGCATCTGCATCGTCAAAGTTTTTACAAACCAAGTGGTCATGGCCGTGGACAAAAGACGGAAAGGGAGCAAGGGGGGGAGTTTGGAATATCTAAATAGACATGGGCTGGGAACTTGTGGCGGGAACAAGCACAAGGACTGCTACAAAATCCTGGCTGTAGATATCCCATTGACAGAAAGGGAGGTATGGTGAAAGCTGCGATTCGAGCTGGGATTGATTGATTCATTTTATTGTCCTGTCTGAGTCTATGACTATGTATGAAATGCAGGTAATCTGCCAGCAGGCCAAGGATATCTATGCCTCCTACACAGCTCCATCAAATCGTACAACCCCTCACAAGTCTTCATTCATTCATACAGTTAGAGGAGCCCTTTGCCCTTTATTATCTCCCCCCTCCAGCCAACGAAACGATGGCCATTTGCGGGTGTATGGCAGCCGGGAAAAATCGCAAAAACCACTGGGTGCGGGGCTCTTCTAATACCGACATTAGAAATAAATCCGAAGACATAGTGACCCTTCTGAAGCGTTCGAAGAGGCCGGCCAGCTGGGCGCTGCAGACTTGTGGGTTCCTCGGAGAATTCACCCTCTCGCTCCATATCTCAACCACCTGTCTCTCCTCAATATGTATAAACTATTTAGAGCATCAGTCCCCCATAAACCAAGATCCCAATTTTGTATATTATGACTTAATTTCCTCCTTTCAGGTATAAGTAGCGTCGTAAATTTGTAGTGAGTGATGGTCGGTAATAAATGAGACAAGCTCCTGTTTACAATTGGGGTGACGCCTATATCGGTCGTCGAGGCGAGATGATATGTGGTTAGCAAGAGGTCGAGGACTTGGAGGATAATGGTAAGTACTGCATGATTGAGAAGTCGCCAAATGAAGATATGCATGTGTTTGCTTTCGACTTATATTTGGATTTGGATGCAATTCTTCTTGGCTATCCCAGATATGCAGAGCATACTGAGCGATTACACCGACACTGCTGGAAGGCGAAGAATTCATATTTGCAGGCCACATAACATCAGACTTGGTTCAGGGCAACAATAGGAAGGTGACATTTGGATTGGAAGTCATGTGATATCACTATATATAACTACGCGATTGCCTCCCTCATATATGTTGTATATTGCTACCAGTCATCAACTTGTTTTACACTTTAACACTGCACCCATCGTTCTCAACGTTACTTCACATGATGTCTGAGTTCCAAGAAATTTTCACGTATCAAGAGAACAATTCGATCGATTACATTCTCCAGAAATGCAGAAAAAGGCACAGCAAAGGTGCCAGCTCTAAATTGGGTCAATTTCAATTCCAAGCACTTGTACTCAGCTAAAAGAATAGTTGTTCATAAACTGTACACAAAAATTTATATGAGTAAACCAAGCCAATACGAGACAAAACGAACATTTCGGAACTTCGTAATCCATTCAATTGCACTATGAAGGTAATTATTCATGAAGATGGTGATCTCAATTTATTTGAACAACTCGTCAATGATATTCTTAATAATACAAATGAATGCGTCATCTTGGAATCGGCCATTGATCTTGGAAAAAACCTTCTATTACAATCAACAGTAGCACAAAAGAGCAGCTTGACTACATTCCGTATAAATATTATGGAGGTATCTAGTATTGACATGACGGCCCAGAGCCTGGAATTATACTTGCAGAATAACTTGCAAGGTAACGTATTCTACGCTATCCCAAACTTCTGGGACTATTTCTTTGAAGAAAAGGATTGGACCGGTCAGGCTTCTCGTATATGGGAAAGCTATGAAAAGTATGAGATTTCTGAGAAGAAAAAAAGATCGAAAGAGCTAAAAGGAAAAAAAACTGCAAAAAGTGTTGAGGAACAGAAACGTCTCCATAGAGACAAGGAAGAGAAAATCCTTGAAGGCATGACTGAAAGTAAGATATGGGACTGGCTCACCTTCTTTGAGGAGAATTTCCTAAATCAGCTCAATGGTCGCACAACAAGGTCCACAAAATACCCCATAGTCATCGAAGATAAGGGCTCCCTTCTGCGAGGGCGGTATTGTCGTACAAAGAGGACACAACGTGCTCAGGATTCCACGGGTACTACTCAGATTGACTTCCTGGTAAAAAGTATTGACATACAGAATGATGATGTTGATTGGAAAAACATGAACGTCGGGGCTGAGTTCACAGTATCACCGAGTACGCCTATAAGAAAGAAAAAGTTCCTTCAACTATCAAGATGTTCATGTGAAGCATACTGCGCTCAGCCCCTGCGGCGATTTATGCACGGATTTCTGATGTTTAAAGAAGAATTCGAACTCTGGGTTTTCGATCGCTCGGGCGCTTACAGCTAGGGAAGAATAGGTATTATAGATAGCAAGGAGATTTTCGTGCGAGCATTATACTCGTATTTGTTGATGAGCGATGAGGAACTTGGCCGTGACATGTAAGTCCTGCGAAAAAATGGACAATCCATAGCAAGTTTCACAGGAAGTGATGGTGACCCAGACCAATTATTTGAGATCAAACATAATCCTCTCATACAGTCAACGACCCTAGTCACTCGAGGGACGACCTGCTATAAGACGAGGGACAAATCATCAATGATAAAGTACTCGTGGAGCAGGTCTGCTGATAACGTCGAAGTCAGATTCATGAAGGATGCACTTCCAGTACCAGGTGTCGTGAAGTACATAGCATCACAGTTAGTATATCAGACTAACGGTCACCTGGGAAACCTCGATCTTTCCGGCGCTGACCCCTGGGATTTAAAGGCCGACGACCATAATATAACCCAGGGTTCTAATTATCATCTTATGAACCTACCGTCTTTGGAAAGAAATCGGTTTCTTTTCAGGATTACAATGACACCATGTGGCAGAAAAATTGACACATGCGGGTCGACCCTTGATTTTGTGGCCGGAATAAGAGATGCGATCAAGGCTCACCAGGGTCTTGTTGATATCAGTATCCTACATGGAGAAATTTCCGAAGAAAATATTACCCTGAAAGATCCAACTACAGATGACGATTCCCATGGTATGCTGATTGACTTTGATTGTTCCGTGAAGTCGAAGGGAAACGTCGCTTAGGATGAAGAACTGTTCTTAACAGGCACCGTGAAGTTTATGGCAATTGAGAGATTAAAAGCCGCTGCAGCTTTAAAGCCCTCCATCCAATGGACTTATCGCCATGACCTAGAATCCTTTTTCTACGTTCTCGTTGTAGGATCCGTAGAATACGAATCGGTAGGCGAGGGTTTGTCTCAAAATCTTGACGTTTAGTGTGTGAATGAAACTAGCAGCTGCTACGCTCATAAACTAGCTCTCATCACTCGATTCGAAAAGCTTCTTGATATGTTCACGCCAAGTTTCAAAGGACTAAAGGGGCTAGCCAAGAATCTTAGAACAATTATATATAAAGATGGAACCTTATCCGCAACACCTGAAGATCGTGGATCAATATACAGGGGAATGATTATGGCTTTTGAAGAAACAATCGAGGACATAAAAGGTAAGACAGATTTATGGCCGCATGAAAGTATTTACTTTTCTTGCTCGAGCTTTGCTGACAAACCGTTCACTTTTAGCCAGAAGAATCATGAATCCAACCTTCATAGCACGCCGTTATCAGACTTATAGTCCAGCCTTTACTCGCCGAAATTTAATTCGAAATTTGCCTGTTAGGTAGAAGTAACACCACACGGCTTTCAGTTAGACTGTTATTTAACTATGGTATGTTAAGCAGAAGAACATTTATGCTCTGGATGTTGTATAGATTGAGATTTTGGACTTTAAATTTACATTTATTTGAACGAATTATAGAAGGCTCAGATTATTATTATTTGAATTTTAATTTGAATTTGATTTCATTTAAACCCGATTTGATGCCATGTGGGCCCATGCAGGCGGCTATGAACCTATCTATATATTTACATGAGGGAGAGACCATTACGATAAAAACCCCCTCCCCCTATTAACTTTTATATATCTGTAGTTCTTCGATACCTACAGGATGTGCAATTGGCCTTAAGTTCGAGACAGGGCTAGCTAAAACTATATTCGACATCGCCGTCCTTTCCCTGTCTTCGCGTGCTGAAAATAGATGACTGTGGTGTTGAGTTCGACCCCGATGGCGCAAATATTTGAGGTGGTGGATTGACCAGGGGCTGTTTGTGCGGGCGTCCTGGCCCTCTCTTTTGTACCTCCGGCTTTTATTGGGACACATGTATGAACCCTTGGTCGTCTGTTGTTGTCGCCGCTGGTTTTGGTGTATTTGTTTTGTTCATTTACGTGCTAGGTATAGTAATTCCCGTTGCACTCCTACTGGAGCTTAAGCACGGGTGGGACCGGACCGGATCAGGTTAACTACCGTAAAGTACAAGTGCCTCGTCCCACCTAAATGACCGGACCACCTCAGACTTCACCCATGTGTTGAATCATGTCCAGCCCAACCGTCCAGAGAACCCCCTTTTGGCGCGCCGAAGCGCAAATTCCTCCTCAGCCTCAGCCTCGGCCACCAAGCGCCCGAGCCCTTGACACCTTCACCATCTGTAACTTTTCCCTTCGAATCATTCCCAGCTTTGGCTCATCTCAGCATCTCCTCACCTCATCCAGGGGTCGTTTTCTTCACTAGAAGTCTCATCCAGTCGCCCACCAAGGCCTCCTCAGTTTGTGTTCCCTTTTGGTTCCTTCATGTAGCATCCCTCTATCCTTCGGCCGATATCATCATCCAAGAAAATTTGTAGAATGTCCACCCCTCCGGCCTTGCCCCGTCGCTGCCGTACCCCTAACTGTGGAGGTCGAAAACGCGACTGAGAGCTCAAGACCGAGGCACCGGTGCCCCAGCCTTTGTCGAATGCTCTAGTTGGTGTGCCGACGAAATGTTGTACGTATTTCGTCGGTGGCGATTCGTCGCAGGTCGAGTTGTTGGTGCCCTTGGCCGAGGGGAGGACGCATTTAAGGCCGGTATTTCGACCGTACCTTCACAGCGACTGGCAGTTGCGGAGGGTCGGACATCCTCTTGCTTCTTAGTTGGCGATTTGGCTTTTGGAGGTATGGGATTGCTTAGGTAGATGGTGAGATGATTGTGGAGAGGGTCGCGAGATGAGTTTGGCTGAGAATGAATTTCCAGAGAAATAGAAAATAAGATATTGAAGGTGTCAGTTGTTGTAATACGAACATCAGACAGGTTATAGGCTGTTTGCGGTTCGTATCTGGGGTATAGATGGTTGATTTCGTTGAGTTGTGCCGTCGTGAAATCTCTGCAAGTCGGATTTTCGACCAAAATGAGCCAACACCACTCCTCCCGATCGCCAACTCGACGAAAACTCTCAAATTCACCCTTTGTCGTGACTAAATCTCGGCTTTGGGAGAATATTTCACTCCCAGGTTCGTAGAGGACACCACTGACAGGTGTTCAGCCTTCGTCCTCGGCTGGTTTTGGTGTAATTGCCTCTGGTGTATTTTTCTCTCTTTTTAGTTCCGCAGTTCTTTCCGAAACTCATGTCGCGCCCTCTGGACACTTGCCTTGTACGACGCGAAGTTTGGACATGTCCCCTTCTGCCACAATTTATAGCCTTTACCGCAGTTGCAGCAAAGCACCGACTTCCTCAGGCAGTCTCTGGTCTGATGAGTGCCCGCGCACTCACCACATCTCCTTACCCTATTGCATGAGGCTTGTGTATGCCCCCATTGACAGCAGTTGAATCACTGCTTGATATGCGCACGGGGTGACCAGAGCTGGGCCGTGTACAGCATTGAATTTAGCACAATGCCATTTCTTGTCACTTCGCGTTGAAGTGCCTCTGTCGGTTGGCTCGCGATCTGTCATACGATTACCCTAAATTTAAATGTTGTATAATGATGTTTAAGTTGAGTAGTTTACAAGCAAGTAAACTGGGCTGATGCATCAAGGGCAACAACCTTGTCATGCAAATGTTACAACTAGCGACTAGACGGATGGCCAAATTCATACGCACAACTCCCTGGTTGTGTCACTTTCTCTATTGCCAATGATAATGTAACAGCCAATTTCAGAACTATGTATGGAACGGAGATTTGAGCAGTTCGCATGGGCAATCTAATAGTCAGTCTATATTTGGAATTATTAGGATACCCAAGATGTATATAGTACCTAGATAGATTCCTCATGGTAGAGGACAATCAATTCAATCACCTCTGAGATTCATATTAGTAAAACTTTGCTTAATACGATCACTGATCCTCCAGAATGACCGTTTCTCCCTATACATTGCTGCTCTTTCCCGTCGTAAAGCCACCTCACCCTGTTGATTTTCTTATCGACTTTGTAATTGTTGGAAGGTCTTACAATGTGATATCACAAGGGTCGACAAATGTCAGGTTGGTTATTCGAAAATGTATATGTGTTCCTCTACGTCTTCCATCATCTACATAAGTTATACAAGAGTAATCGTTAACATTAGAACACGTGATAATATTTGACGTCATGATGGATACTCTCTCTGTCGAGCTTTGACCAAGCTTATTAACCCACACCGGCAATCTTTTCTTTATGAACTAGCACTGAATAGAAAGCCCCCGTCTGCCATATCTTACTGACTAATATTACGGTCTTATTACCGATCCTTCAATTCGAATCGTTAACTCATTATTATCGATGAATCGTTCCAGGGCACGATTCGGTGACACTTTTGTCAAAGCATCAGCAGGGTTATCTTCCCCGTTGATCCATCGAATCTCCGCAACCTCTCTTCGTTCATAAGACTGTCTAAGCGCCATAATATCAATCATTAGGCGTTTCTCCTTAGTAGTACCTAACTTTACCAAGCACTCGTATAACGAGTAAGAATCAGTGCATATAACTAGAGGCATTTCAGGAAGATTAAGACGTTCGGTTATCATCTTTAAAGAAGATGCGATTGCAAGACCAATGTCAAAGCCATTGACCATTCCGTAGATTTCAGATGCTAGCACACTGCGGGTGACTCGTTTACACTTTGTCGAACTCCAGTGAATAAGGTTACCTCGAACCTTGGTCTTAGATCCGATTTGATCCTCATTAGCAAGTATCAATACAAATCCAAGTTGTGAGCTGAGGTCCTTATTATTAGCAAATGATCCATCCGTAAAGACCATTATCTTAGCCGTGGCCAAGTTAATTGGAACGAAACGTAATCCACGCTGTATGTTCTTTATTTGCCATTTGAGTCGCCGGTTTAAAGCAGTGTATTCCACTTCGTCCGGATCTTTGGCTTGTGCTGCTACCGACATATCGAAAGCTGCCTCGGGCTGACATATGGAGGCAATATACGCTCCTCGGGCACGTTGCTCAATATACCTCTGATTTCGATCTAACACCTTGTTAGTTACCA